GTAAAAATTTTTTTATAAAAGATATATAATAAAAATTTTTATATTTAAATAAATTCCAATACCTAATAACTTAATTATATAAGACAGAATTAAAATTTTATTTTAAAAAAAATAATCTATTAATGTTTATCTGAGGTACAAATCTTTTTGCACTGACCATATTGAAATAATTTTTAAATTTCGAACTGTCTCAGTCAGTGCGTTCGTGGAAAAATTTGGGGATTTTTTACTTGTGACGAGGATTAGTAGAATAGTAAAACTAATTGTATGATTTAAACTTAATTCCTATGTCGATGTATAAAGAGGACAAAATAACCATATGTGTCAATGCAAAGTAATTAAAAATAAATAAATATCATTTTTATTTTGATAACTACAAGATTAATATATCTGGATCTATGGCTTAGGAGCCGAAGGGCTGACATATTTGTAGTAGTAATACGTGGTTGACATTAATGACAAGAGAAACTTTAACTCAACCCTATATTTAATTTATTAAAAAAATACCATTTATTTAATTTCTGAGGTTTAATTTTCCTTGCAAATAAACACTGTAAAGAGTGAAATTTGTTTAACTACAAATTGAATATTATAAGTGAATTTTCTCTTGAAGCTCAAATATTACGTACGTTAATTTTTATTTATTAGGTCAAAATTTTGCTTAAAAATTTCATAAAAGTATATTGAAATATTATTAATTTAATTAGAATTAAATTGATTTCTAGAGTTCAACGATTTCGAATATTTAATCTCATTATCGCTATAAACTAAATCCGTTTAAAAAAGATGGGTATATGACTTAGTAGGAAGTAAAAGAATTTTTATTCCCACAATTGTGTTTAGAAAACATAAATTTCACTTCCTACTTAATTGTATAAATTTTTCAAAGGTAATTATGCTTGTTTTCATAGAATTTACGATAATAAAAGTCAAATTATGTGTCGAAATAAAAATAGTATTTAAATTTAATTATCAAGCCTCCCAAAAAAGACGGCATTGTATGACAAACGTAATAATCGAAAATCCGAATGAACGGCACGAAAAATCCCGATATCGTGATAATTTTGGTATTCCATGCATTTATAATGGTGGGATGCCGTTCATTCGGGATTTCGTTTGTCAGATTCGGATCAGAATTTTCGTAACAGATCCATTTTTATTTAAAAAAATTAGTAGTGTATTTGAATCGGCATTTAGAACTAAAATAGACGTGTAAAGATGATTCCATACTCTTGTGAAATGATGTTTGAAGTTTTAAAATACAGTACACATTCTTTTAACTTTGGAATACTACATAATTTCAGCTTAATTTTACATATTTTAATTTTTTAAACAATAAATTCAGTTGGGAAAACTTTTTTTATTATAACACGAAACACAAAAGCTGAAAGAATCAGTAAGGTTTCATTTATGTGGGCTAAATATTAGGGAGCAATTGTAATGATTATAAATAAAAGAAAATATACACTTCACTTCAAATTAAAGAATTCACACCAGATTGCAAATTTCCTTACTATTAATATCAATATATGGAAATATTGTACATATATTATTTGACTTCGAGAGATATAAATTGTTTCAAGTAATATTTTATGGCATCGAAAAAAAGGGTCCAATTTAGTTATCACATAAATCTACTTATTTCGCCGCACAAAGTATCTTTCCAATTGAGCATATAGTTTCTGCATAATGAATTGAACAAATCACAGTGCAATTTTTTTTAATTAAATTAATAGGTTTGTTGATTTACTGTATATTTCTACAATACTTTGTACGGCAAAACACGGTTTGCGTATACGGATTATTTAATTTTTTTGAATTCATCAAAGAATTTGTTCGTCAATAAATATTATTCCATGCGACCAATAATCATTATAATATAAAAAACTATATGATCCTTAAATAAAACTTACTTTATAAACAAAGTTTGCATTCTCATTCATACTTTATTTCCTGTTTTTCTTTTTTACATTGCTCCGATTGGTTAGCGTATGGACCCAATAAAAAATTGATATTCCCTTTGTCAATGATGCTCATAATGTTCAATGTTGCACATTATAAATCGATATGGGCTGTGTAGGAAACCTGCCGATTAAATGCTAAATGATTTTGTACTTGTACACGTAAAGTTTTTTTTAGTGGTTAATTGATGAATCAACTTCTTGGTTCCAAAAAGTTAATCCGTTTGTTAAACATACATGTAACTGCGCATTAACTTTTATATTTATCTGATTAAAAAAAAACTAGAACGGCATTTGCAATCATTGCGTTTTTGATTAAGAGGTTCAATAATTTCAGAGTTATTTTATCATTCAATTCGATTGCGAATATGTGTATTCCTTTATGAAGAAAAAATATTTTATTGGTTGATTCTATATTTGCTTATTAGCATCGTTGCGTCGTTATTCTTAATTATATTTAAAAAATTACAATAAAAAGATTTTAACGAATATTTCATAATGAATGATGGGTTGCTTAACAAGACAAGTGTAGATAAATAAACATAGATAATTAAGAGAAATTCATAGTTATGTAAGAAACGTACATGTACATGTATAATGTTTTAAAAGGAAGGAATTTTATTTGATCGAAACGGATAAATGATGTATTATGAGGTGATATACACGTGAATGGTAAGATAAATGTACAGTACATGTACATATCGTTATCGAGTAAGAATAACGGAATTTAGACAGAGCGTATTACAGCAGTAATGTTTATAATTGATGCACGTGAGCTCTAGAAAAGATATGTACATGCAGATACATCGTAGAACGATAAAATTTAAAAGTTGGGATAAATATTATAAATTTTAAAGATACACGTAAGTGTATAATATAATAAATAACAAGAATGAATATGTAGATAATAGATTAAGCTAACGATAGGAGTCCATGAGTACTCTTGTGGTGTTATTAGCATTTATATCTGACGTAAGAGACTGATCAAAAATGCTGATAGTCCCATTGATCATAACTTGTGCCAAGTTAGTCATGTTCAAATTTCCAGGCTGCGGCTGTGGACGTCGTGGAGGTCGTGGAGGTCGATTCATTTTATTATTAACTTTTTTATTTGAATAAAAACAAACAGGAATTTACTTTGAGGAGGGGAATTGGAGCTTGGTTTATATAGATGTATATTCTTCATGAATAAAGAGAGAGTGTATTCTCGTTTGTTACAGAATATTCAATAATTAGTGAGATTGTGTAAAAACTAATTAAAAATAGCGTGTCTCTTTATGACGCCGCTGACGCGTATTCTTTTCTCTTTAATCATTGTGTGACACTAGAACCAATAAAATATACGTTTGGATTTTAATCATGTATTTTACTGAAAAATTGACTCGTAACACTCAAAATTAAATTCGAATCATTTAAGTACGATCTATGCATATTCTTACGATCTATGCATACTCTCGTACTCGAAATTTTTGTTTAATTATGAGTTGCTCATTTGGTGAACTTTATTGTAAAACAAAAATTTAAATTTCAGGTACATTTATTAAAAAAAGATAGACCAATACTTTTAATTGTGGAATGCAATTGCATATATTATCCTTATATAACTATTTAATGTCTTTCTATTTAGTTACGGTCAAATTTATAAATAAATTCTTGGCGATGTTAAGGACAGCAAGCTTCGGATAATATACATTATCCATGAAATATACTTTTTAAGTGCAATTTTTAAAATAAAACTGATCCAATATTATAATTAATTATCCTACTTTAAATTGAGAATCTTGCATGTTATCGAAAATGTTTAATTAAACTTTTCGTAAATAATCAAAATGAAATTTTAATAATTTGAAGGGAAAAAATTCGATTGGGTATGTATGCATTCTTTCAAATAGAAGATAACGTTTAGAATCTTCAATTATGCATGTATGCACGCATTAAATAACGCACATCATAATCATGCATCCTAAAATGCAGTACATGTAAATGGTTATTAATAAATGATTGAAAGAGCATTGAAAAAATAAAAATGGCACGATTTTAAACCATACCATTTTTTTTTTTAAAAATTGCCTCATGCATTTGAAATTGATCAATGATCAAAAGATAGTAAATAATAGATGATTGGATGTAGTTATATTGATACCATCTTTTAACATATCGATATAATAGTTTGCCTAAACTCAAAACAAAAACGTAAAATATTGAGATTCAAAATACAATAAACAATGAAGCATTATGTATTGATTAACATGTGCATGTAAATACACTGCATGCATGCAATATATCATGTAATAGAGAAAGGAAGGTATAATTAATTACATGAATGATGCTTACTAATACAATGAGAAAACCACCACTTAATTTGTGATTAGCATATGTAAGGGATCTGTAATAACTAGGAAAATCATTTTCAAGTGGAAACACAATTATAAACACAATAAACACCGAAAAATGAATTATTAATAAGAATTAGGATTACTACTATATGTAAAATTCATTTTTATGACGGATTTGTTTTGGCGGGTTGTTCAAAAAAACATTACGTATAATAATATACGGCCGCTGTACATGATTGATCCGGTCCCTCCCCCGAAATTCGACATCCCGACAAACCTAATTTCCTCCTGACAAAACTAGTCTAATTTCTGGTTTATGTCTGGAAGTTGAGTTTTGCGGAAAGTTGGGTTGTTAGGTTGTCGGGAAGTTAGATTGTCGGGATGTTGGGCATGTCGGGATGTTGGATTGTCGGGATGTTGGGTGGCACCCCTGCGGGACATAGATCTGGTGTTGCGGCGACAACAGCTAACGTTCGATTGCTGAACAACTAGTAGCAACAGCAGACCAATAACTGCAGCAACTGCAAATGCAGGTAACACAGTTGCAACAAAAGCTGCACAAACAGCAGAATAATAATTGCGTTGTGTTGTGTTGTCGTTGCTGTTGTGACAAATAACAAATAAAATTGAATAATCGATCGAGATTAGTATATATTGAATAATATTTTCTAAATTACTTTGAAATTTGTATCGTCACAGTTACCTTGTCAAAAATTAGGAGAATAGTTGAACCAATTGTGTGTGTTCAAATCTAATTCCTATGCCGATATCGTTCGACGTGAACAAAAATAAAAAATATAGTAGTTTCCTTTGTATTTAGTTTCATTAACCTCTTTATTATATTAAAGCGTTAGCAATTGTGAGAAAATTACCATAAGTCTCAATGCAAAGTAATTAAAAATAAATAAATAAAAAAAATGAATTGATTAATTAATATCATTTTCATTTTGATAACTATAAAATAATATTTCTGGATTTAGGAGACGAAGAGACGACATTTTTGTAGCTGACTTTTCTGAACAAAGAATAGTAGTAATAGACGGTTGCCATTAATGACATGAGAAACTTTAACTCAACCCTATATTTAATTTATCAAAAATTCCATTTCTTTAATTTCTAAAATTTAATTTTTCCTTGAAAACAACAACTTAAAATACTATAAAAGTACAACTTCTTTCAAATTATAGAAACTAAATGTGATATTCTTATTTAATTTAACTACAAATTGAACAGTCTAAGTGAATTTTTCTTTTGAAGCTCAAGCATGATGTACGTTAATTTTTATTTATTAGGTTAAAATTTTACTTTAAGAATTTCATAAAAATATATTGAAATATTATTGCTTAAAATTAAATTGATTTTCTAGAGTGAATATTTCATTATCGCTATAAATTTAAAAAATTTGGTATTGTATAAAAAAAGGGCCGATTTCAGTATATATTTTACAGATTGCCTGAAATGATTTCGGAAAAAGATTACAGTTCATGTAATATATGACTTAATACGAAGTAAACTCAAATTTTATTCTCACAATTATGTTCAAGAAAGACATAAATTTCACTTCCTACTTAATTATACAATTTTTTCAAAGGTATTATGCTATTTTCATAGAATTTACGATAATAAAAGTCAAATTATAGTTGTCGCTTGCGTCGAAGTAAAATAGGATTTAAATGACTCTTAAACCCCTCCCGAAAATGAGGCGTTGACAATTCATTGTCCGAAAAACGCAATTCCGAATGATCGAAAATCCGAATGAACGGCACGAAAAATCTCGATATCTTGATAATCTTGGCATTCTATGCATTGGGATTCGTATATTACGGATTTCGTTTGTTCGGGATGTCGTTCGTTCGGAATGCCGTTCATTCGAGATTTCGATCATTCGGGATTTCGTTTGTCGGGCTTATGAACCATCGGGATTGTGTCAGGATTTCGTAACAGATCCATTTTAAATGATATTAATTTATAAATATATTGTTGAAAAAATTAAGAGTTTATTTTGAATCAGCATTCAGAGCTAAGATAGATGATTAATTACCGTTATGGAAATACAGTATATTATTTGACTTCGAAAAAAATAACAGCGCCATGAGAATTTGATAGTATAAATTGTTTCAAGTAATATTTTATGACATCGGTATTATCAAAAAAAAGGGTCAATTTAATTATTGATAAATCTACCTACATGTATTTCGCTGCATAAAGTATTCTTCCCAGTTGAGCCCATAGTTTCTGCATAATGAATTGAACAAATCACGGTGCAATTTTTTTTAATTAAATTAATAGGTTTGTTGTCAGATTAAATTTATATTTCTATAATACGGTTTGTGCATGCGGGATTATTAATTTAATTCAGTTTCTTTTTTTGAATTCATCAAAGAGTTTGTAGATGCAGGCCGAAACTTCAATAAATACATGTACTCTAAATAATCACTATATTCCAAATAAATAAAACAAAAGTTTTGCATTTTCATTCATACTTTATTTTTTACATTGCTCCGATTGGTTAAAACATGGACCAACAATGTACACGTGGAGTTTTTATTGGTTAATTGATGAATCAAACTCTTGTCAAACATACATGTAACTGCGAATTAACTTTTATATTTATCTAAATAAAAGTTTATAGCGCTTTAAAATGTAAAAACTGCAGAGTTTATCTAATAATGTATGTGTCTATCATTAAAAAACTAACAGAATATCAATAAGCATGCATGCGTTTTGATTAAGAGGTTCAATAGTTTCAGTGGCCTTTTTACTGACTTTTCATTCAATTTATGTGTAATGCTTTTTATTTGATAGGTTGATTCTCTCTATTTGCATATTAACATTGTTGCGTCATTATTCTTAATTATATTTAAAATCTTTACAATAAAAGGATTTTAACGAATGAAAAATGTATATTTCATAATAAATGATGGCTGAACAATAGTGAAGTGGAGATAAATAAACATAGATAATTAAGAGAAATTCATAGTTATGTAAAAAAAAAGCGTATAAATGATAATGTTTTAGAATTCTATGGGATAAATGATGCACATGTTCTGTATTATGGGGGGGGGGGAATATACACGTGAGTTGTAAGATACATACATCATGTGCTTATCGTTATTAAGTAAGAATAACGGACAAAGCACATCAAAGTGTGCGGTAATGTTAATAATTGATGCACGTGAGTTCTAGAAAAGATATGTACATGCAGATGCATCGAAGAACGATAAAATTTAAAAGTTAGGATCAATATTATAAATTTTAAAGATACACGTAAGTGTATAATATAATAAATAACAAGAATGAATATGTAGATAATAGATTAAGCTAACGATAGGAGTCCATGAGTACTCTTGTGGTGTTATTAGCATTTATATCTGACGTAAGAGACTGATCAAAAATGCTGATAGTCCCATTGATCATAACTTGTGCCAAGTTAGTCATGTTCAAATTTCCAGGCTGCGGCTGTGGACGTCGTGGAGGTCGTGGAGGTCGATTCATTTTATTATTAACTTTTTTACTTGAATAAAAACAAACAGGAATTTGGAATTGGAGCTCGGTTTATATAGATGTATACGCTTCATGAATAAAGAGAGGGTGTATTCTCGTTTGTTACAGAATATTGATCAATAATTAGTGAACGTTTGTAAAAACTAATTAAAAATAACGTGTTAAATGAGTTGCTTCATTTAAAGCCGAATTTGGTAAAATTCGAAAGAAAAAAATTGCTGTATACAATAGTTATGGAGCAGATGACGTGTATTTAACCCGTGCAGTACTCTTCCCTTTAATTATTGTGTATTAAACCGCACGGTACTCTTTTCCCTTTAATTATTGTGTGACATTAGAACCAATAATATATACGTTTGGCTTAGCTCGTAACACTAAATCGTCCGTACGAAATTAATTTAATTACGATCTATGAATAAGTCGAGGCAAAAATACATCATCCAATTAAGAATAAATTATAAAAAAAGCTAATTGCAAAATTGCACAATTTCGCACATTTCCGTACTCGATATTTTAGTTTAATTACGAGTAATTCATTTTGTGAATTTTATTGTAAAACAAACTGAGGACCAATACTTTTATTTGTGGAATGTAATTGCATATATTATCATTATATAACGTTTTGATCTCTTTCTATTTTAGTTGCGTTTAAATTTATAAATAAAGTCTTGGCGATGTTTAAGGACTATGGGCTTCGGATAATATACAGCATCCAAGTGTAATAAAAATAAATATCATAATTTATTATCCTACTTCTCCCAAATACAACTGCATATTAATAGAATATTTCCGACAAATAATAAGGAAAAATACAATAAATTTTTGATATGTCCATATTCTAAATGCAAATTTGAAAAAAAAATCGATTGGTGCGCATATATGATAATTCGCCTAACGCTAAACTCAAAACAAAAAACGTAAATACATGTATCGAGAAGCATTATGTATTGACACTGCATGCATGCACATATGTCATGTAATGAGAAAGGAAGGCATGAAATTAAAAATAAAAATTCTTTGTGAATGATGCTATCTGTGATACGGATTTAATCCCGTGAGAGAATTTTTAATCGGTAACCGCCTGTAATTTGTAGTTTGTATATGTAAATAAATAACAACTGGAATCATAACAATAACCACTGGAAATGAATTATTAATATTAGAGTTTGTTTATAAAGGTTAAGATTAAGGTTGAATTAGAAATAATAAGCCTATGCGTAAAATTTTCTTCGAACATTTTTTTATTACCGTATATCTCCGAATATAAGCAAGGGGGGTTGCTTATATTCGAGTATAAATTTATTATGTTTTATATATAATATTTTTAGAACCTCAGGTCTTAAAAAGAGGTGGTTGCTTATATTCGGGGGTTGCTTATATTCGGGGGTTGCTTATATTCGGAGATATACGGTAATACACAAGCTCGGTTTATGCACAAGTTTCTATTCGAGGGTTGCTTATATTCGGAGATATACGGTAATACACAAGCTCGGTTTATGCACAAGTTTCTTATATATTTCACTTTTTCAATTTCTTTATGTCGGATTTGTTTTGCCGAGTTTGATCAAAAATTTAATTATCCAATCAGCGATCGATTTTCTGCGTCCAATCAAAACTTTGGGGAAAATACCTAATAGTGCGACCATGTTTTACAAAATATTTCAAAAATAGAAACTTTTAACACTTTCTCGATACACTAATTTGAGAATTGAGATGTGTCGTACGTACATTTACATGAACTTAATTTAATATGTTGGTCAAATCAAATATGTTGTTGCATGCGTACTAAAAATAATAGCCTTCTTACCCGATTTGCGCGTGTCTGGCTTCTGAATTGCGTATTATATTGGTGTGCTGGGATGCATATAAAAAATTATAATTTGATACCACATACAGTCAAACCCACCTCATGTAACCACAAAATTAATCTAGTCGCATTTTTCGTTTCCAAACAATTATGAAACATAAGAAATTTGACCTCACATAATCATAACCTCACAGTCATTCATATTCCGAAGGCGTGAGGTCCGACTGTACATAGTAAATTAGTACGTGAATTTTTATTTATGCATAATGAATATATTCTTTTTTATACTTTACATGCAACAAAGCACGCTGCAAGCTGCATGCGATACACATGTAGTATGTAATTCAGGCATGCCAGATTACGCACAAGACAACACGCAATATAGCACGCGTGAATCAGGTTAGATTAAGCAAAAGACAACAACATAGCGTGCAAATCCGGCAAGACAGCATGCGATATAGCACACGCAACAGACGTATTTTTGACTAAAATTTACATTAATTGTGCAGACTTTAATCTTGGCAAGCTTGATAATTTTTATTTGTTATAAATAAAATTAATAAAAAATACAGTGGCTGACAACAGTTTTAAAAATTTGCACACACATTAAAAAACTATAAATTTAAATTTATCATCAAACAAACAGTGAGCAATTAATATCATAAATAACATAAAAATCATGTTCTACGAGATTTGAAAGTGATTGCTAAATAACATCATCAATTTGCTCAGTATACTATTTGTTGAAGTCACAAGAATTCTTGGAGTCATTCATAAATGCATCAATTTATCATAATATTGGACCGCACCTTGTTTCAACATGATTTCGGTTTCCAATTCGAAAGAAACACAAAAAAATTAACAAGGACAAAGCATCATTAATCAAGAGTAGTGCTCCGAAGGATCGAATCGGATCGAGTTTTGGACATATTACATATTCGTATTCGACCCGAGTATAAAAAAATTAAAATATAACAATATTCGGGTTAGCATTTATATAACCCGAACTCGATTCGCCCCTTAATTCAACTGACTTGTGACCGACTCGAATTTTGTCAAAAGAATAAAAATATAAACATAACACTTTAAAATGAATATTTTGGATTGTAATTTTTTTATATCGTGAATTGATATCCTAATTATATTTTCTTTTTATACTTTACGTCCACTAGGATTTACAACGCATACATACACGAATTGTATCTTTTTTAAGATTATTCGTCGAAACTTTTACTATCAGCAATTATCCATTGGTAGCAAATTTGAGAAAATCCGCTTGTGTAAACTTAAATATTTAATAATAATAATAATAATAATAATAATAAAAATCAATATAAAGTTTAATTTTAATTTCATATTTACTTTGATACACTCTCTAGATTTATACATGTATTTGGGATGATGATACTCTAGATGACGCAAGAGATTTGTTACATTGGAATCCCAAGCAATGTCTTATTACCTTTAGAATTTTAAGAGATATGATGTATTATTAACTAATAATATACATCTTACATGTATATATATTTAACTTTTTTTAAAAATACCTACGAACATTTGACTTCTCGATAAGTTTTTTTTTTCATATTAAATTACGTGAAACTTTTCGTTTTTTAATATATGTATTATCAGAATCACTCACTATTTAACATTACAATAAAGTTGAAATCAAAGTCACGTAAACGTAAAACAAAAAAAAATACCCGACACATAAATTCACATCGCATATCGATATGATAACCCGGGTTATCCAAGGTATAACCCTGACTCGTACGGATTGATTAAATTTAAGACTCGTGTTGTTAAGTAATACCGACCCGATTTAAAACTCGGGTCGGTTAAATAACCCGGGTTGATTCGATCGTTTTGGAGCACTACTTTTCAGAGGGTCTGATATAACATCCTGATATCCAAAATCCCGACTTACCAAAATCTACGAAACCTTTCGTCAAGTATTTTTCGTTTTGATAATTGACGAACCGATAAATCCTATGACTACAGTGTAAACAAACTACGACATAAGTTAAATAGTCGATTCGGCATTAAGCTTGAAACTACATGAAACCTCTCAACATGTTATTATGAAACTTTCTTTAAGAAAATGTTAGTGTGACAAATGATTTTTGTAACGTTTTACATGTTCAATTAATTTAGATTTGAATAACAATTAAATAATAATTTTTTAGAAATGATGACTTTTAAAATACATTTATCGTTATATAATAAAAATTAAACTTTATATTACATATATAGTAATTATTTGATAATCTATACTCGGTGGACAAAAGTTTGGATTGTATATCAATCATTTCCGTTCCCACATAAATCAGGAGGAAGTTTATTTGAATAACGAAAAAAACTCTTTAAACGATCTTTTATTAAAAGCTTTTATAGTTTGCGATATCAGTATTGTCTTTTCTGCAGTAGGAACCCCAGTTTAGTCGATTATCAGCGGTTTCGTCGTCGCAGGTTTCGTCAATCGTCACAGGTTTCGTCATCATGAAATTACTGTAGTTTCGTCAGGTATCATTAGCACTAACTCATGACATCTAAATCCCAACATTCTAACATCCCGCTACCTAAAATCCCAATATGCACGTATTCTGATTTTCAGAAATTTCATTTTTAATATCGATATCAAATATAGATCATGCCAAAGCTATAGTAAAATCTTATCAATTAATGTTAGCATCAATATTTTTATGCCGCTTAATTCGAGATTGTGTCCAAAAATCCGGGAACCGATATTTACTAGTAAAATTACGCAAACCATAAAGACATGAAATAACATCCCGGGATCCGGGGGTATTATTTCGTGTGAAGTTGAACTTTTTCAAAAGTGAAAGTTGCTTAATGTTTTCTGATAAAATCATAATTTTCAAAAATTAATAATTAATATTCTTGATGTCGCGTCGCTATTAGTTTCCGTTTTAGATATTATCATTACGGAATAACTAAAAGCTCCCACTTACGAATGAATATTCAACATAGTACATGTAAATTAATGTTGAAAATTACTATGAATCTTCCTCAAAATTACCGCTTTTAAACTTACCATTACAACAAATATATAAAAATCTAATCGAGTACTTCTTTATGTGTTCAGCGATACTAATGGTTAACGCCGCGAACATTTATAGTTTTTGAAATGGTTGTGTTCGAAATTGCATTAGATGAAACAATC